CAGGAAGATACATTTTCTCACAACACTATTGTCATTACCTTGTTGGTCATTGTTAATGAACTGTTCTGATCCACATGTAATATCTTTTTTTTAAAAAAAAAATGTGTATTGTCTAAAAAACAAACATTTTTGAAGGAAGGACCTCTTATTTGACAAGAACTGTTGGAAAATTCAAAATCTGTTTGGCCAAAATGAAAATTAGATCAACATCTTTCAGAATATATCCCAATATAAAAGATCACAGCATTAATATAAAATGTAGAGAACAGAAGGAAGTACCTAGAGGGAGCTATGTGATACATTGGAGAGTGCTCCACTGAGAAAACCTGAGCATAAATTTAGCCTCACTTACTATCTTTGTGACTCCATTCAAGACACTTAATTTCTGCCTGACTCACTTTCCTCATCTGTAAAATGGGGGTCATCATAGTAGCAGCTATTCCCCAGGGTTGTTGTGAATACCACATGAGATAGTATTTATAAAGCAAGTTGTGGTATATGAATGTGATGGAATACTATTGTGCTATAAGAAAGGATGAACAGGCTGACTTCAGAAAAACCTGGAAAGACTTGTATGGTCTGATGCTGAGTGAAGTGAGCAGAACCAGGAGAACATTGTACACAATAACAGCCATGTTGTGTGATGACCAATATTGATAAACTTAACCCTTCCTGGCAATACAAAAATCTAAGACGTCTCCAGAGGCCTTGTGATGGAAAATGCTATCCACATCCAAGGAAAGAACTATGGAAGTCAAATTGCTATTTTTTTTCTCTTCTGTTGAGTTTTGTTTCCTCTTTCTGATGGTTCATCCTATGGGTTTTAATTTTTACTTACAACATCACTAATGTGAAAATATGTTTAATATGAATGTAAATACATAGCCTATATCAGATTGTCCGCCGTCTTGGGGAGGGTGGTGGGGAGGAAGGGGAAGAAAAATTTTAAACTCAAAAGCATGTGGAAGTGATTATTGATAAATCAAAATAAATTAATAAAACAATCCAAAACAAAACAA